CTCTGTTGTCCTCTTCTCCTCCCGCCTTCAATCTTTCCCAGCATCGGGGTCTTTTCAAATGAGACAGTCCTTCGCATCAGGTGGCCAGAGTATTGGAGTTTCAGCTTCAACATCAGTCCTTCCAATGAACAGTCAGGGCTGATTTCGTTTACGATGGACTGGTTGGATCTCCTTGCAGTCCAAGGGACTCTCAAGTCTTCTCCAACACCACAGTTCAAAAGCATCAATTCTTCAGTGCTCAGCATTCTTTACAGTCCAACTCTCACATTCAATACAAGACTACTGGAAAAACCATAGCTTTGACTAGATGGACCTTTGTTGGCAAAGTAATGTCTCTGCTTTTTAATATGCTGTCTAGGTTAGTCATAACTTTTCTTCCAAGGAGCAAGTGTCTTTTAATTTCATGGCTGCAGTCACCATTTGCAGTGATTTTGGAGCCCCCCAAATAATGTCTGTCACTGTTTCCACTGTTTCCCCAGCTATTTGCCATGAAGTGGTGGGATCAGATGCCATGAGCTTAGTTTTCTGAATGTTGAGTTTTAAGACAACTTTTTCACTCTCCTCTTTCACTTTCATCAAGAGGCTCTTTAGTTCTTCTTCACTTCCTGCCATAATGGTGCTGTCATCTGCATATCTGAGGTTATTGATATTTCTCCCAGAAATCTTGATTCCAGCTTTTGCTTCATCCAGCCCAGAGTTTCTCATGATGTACTCTGCATATAAGTTAAATAAGCAGGGTGACTATACAGCCTTGGCATACACCTTTTCCTGTTTGGAACCAGTCTGTTGTTCCATGTCCAGTTCTAACTGTTGCTTTCTGACCTGCAAACAGATTTCTCAAGAGGCAGGTCAGGTGGTCTGGTATTCCTATCTCTTTAAGAATTTTCCACAGTTTGTTGAGGTCCACATGGTCAAAGTCTTTGGCATAGTCAATAAAGCAGAAATAGTTGTTTTCCTGGAACTCTCCTGCTTTTTCGATGATCCAGTGGATGTTGGCAATTTGATCTCTGGTTCCTCTGCCTTTTCTAAAACCAGCTTGAACATCTGAAAGTTCATGGTTCATGTATTTTTGAAGCCTGGCTTGGAGAATTTTGAGCATTACTTTGTTAGTGTGTGAGATGAGTGCAATTGTGCGGTAGTTTGAGCATTCTTTGGCATTGCTCAATCCCAATCCATTGCTTATTCCAATTGGCATTGGAATGAAAACTGACCTTTTTCAGTCCTGTGGCCACTGCTGAGTTTTCCAAATTTTCTGGCATACTGAGTGCAGCACTTTCACAGCATCATCTTTTAGGATTTGAAATAGCTCAACTGGAATTTCAACACCTCCACTAGCTTTGTTCGTAGCTCAATCGTGTCTGACTCTTTGTGACCCAATGGACTATACTGTCCATGGAGTTCTCCAGGCCAGAATACTGGAGTGGGTAGCCCTTCCCTTCTCTAGAGGATCTTCCTAGCCCAGGGATCGAACCCAGGTCTCCCACACTGCAGGTGAATTCTTTACCAGCTGAGCCACCAGGGAAGCCAAGAATACTGGAATGGGTAGCCTATCCCTTCTCCAGCAGATCTTCCTGACCCAGGAACTGAAGCCAGGTCTCCCACACTGTGGGTGAATTCTTTACCAACTCAGCTATCAGGGATATCATATGGTAACTTTCTCTTTCATACTTGATGCAGTGGTCCCTAGACCAAAACTACAACTACTAATGCATTGCAGGAAGCAGGGATGATTCCTGGGCACTAAACCATAGCTGTTTTAAAATCTTTATGTCAGAGTTCCTAAGGGCCTGATGGGGTGGGTTGTTTCACTCCATGCAGCAGTATTTGGGCTAACATTGAACACAGTTACATTGCCTATTGGTAGAGATAGCCCACTAACTCTGTACCTATGTAACCCTTTCCTACATGGATGAGAGTGGGCAGAGTGGGAGGCACTTGCTAGGCTCCTAGTGCTGCCTATGATCTAGACCAGGACTGTGGCCAAACCTAATGTCCCTTCTAAGGTGAAAATGTTTGGATACAGACAGGAGAAATAGTACGTAACAAAGGGTAAATGAATGAGTAACTGAGTTATGCAATGAGAGAAGTCCAGTGATAATGCTTGGAAGAAAGCTAAGAGCAAGAAATAATATTGTCTCTCAAGCCCAATTATACCAAATGCCTGAGAGCATGAAGTCATCTATTGCTGACACCACTTCTGTTTCCTGACAAGATCAAATGGAAGCCCCGAGACATCCTGTCATACAACGTGATGATGGATGGGGCTATCAGACTGACTGGATGGGACTCCAGTAAATGTGTATCTTTGACTCTTATTTTTCAGGTTACATCTATCATAATGTTATGTGCTAGAATACTGGCGTTATTGGAAAGATAATGCCAATGTTGATAATCAAATGTATTGGGACATTGAGTTTAATAGCTTCCTATCCTTACCCCACATTGATTCCTCCAAATGTTGCTGTCAGGTCCCTTTTTCTATAAAAGATCCCATGATCAAAGACCAGGGAGTGGCCTAAGATGTAATAAAGGATGTATCCAGGCTTGGGGAGGGGGACTGGCATAGAGTTCCCAAAACCTTTGAAATTTCCTGAATGAAAGAAGTATCTTTGTTAATGCTAATGAACGTGTGTGTGTGTGTGTGTGTGTGTGTGTGTATGTGTGTTGGGGGAGGGGCATGACTAGAAAACGTTAGGATAAGGGCTGGTCACCAGAAAAAACACATGATCAGAGGGCTAAAACTTTTAACCACCTGACCTCCAGAGAGAGGAAAGGGGCTAGAGACTGAGTTCAATCACACTGATTTAATCAACTGTGCCTACATAATAAAACTCTGATACAAAATTCAGGACAGCAAGACCTAGAGGAGCTTCCTAGTTGGTGAACATACTGATGTGCTGGGAGGATGATGGACATGCCTGGGTTCCATGAGGAGATGGTGTGGAAGCTCTGTGTCTCCATTTCCCCTGACACCTCTTCTTCCTCCCAGGCCTCACTCTATGCATCTCTTCTGTTTGGCTGTTCCTACATTATATCTTTTATAGTAAAATTGTAATAGAAAATGTTTCAGTGAGTCCAGTGAGTCATTCTGGCCAATTATCAAACCTGAAGGGGGGTGTTAGGAATCCCCAAATTTGCAGCCAAGTCAGAGGGGTATGAGTATCCTAGGGTCCCCACTAGCAGACTGGCAACTGAAGTCATCTAGCTGAGGATCTTGCCCTTTCATTTGTGAGACCTACACTAACTCTGGGCTTACCAGGTGGCACTAGTGGTAAAGAATCTGCCTACCAGTACAGGAGACACAAGAGATCAATCCCTGGGTCATGAAGATCCCCTGGAGTAGGAAGTGGCAACCCACTCCAGTATTCTTGTCTGGAAAATTCCATGGACAGAAGAACCTAAGGGCTACAGTCCATGAGGTTATGAAGACTCAGACGTGACTGAGCAACTGAGCACACTCTCTGGATACTATCAACTGAATTGAATGTCAGGGCATCAAGTTGGCTATCAGAGAATTGTTGTTAGAATGCAGAAATATTTCATTATATTTTTTGACTTTTAAAATTATAGTAAAATAAACATAAAATTTACCCTTTTGACCAGCTTTCTTTTTAAATTTTTTATTGTAATATAAGAAAACAAAATAAATGTATAACTTACAAGTAAGCCACTCAATCATATTTCACAAATTGAACACACCATTGTACCTAGCATCTGGATGAAGAACAGAACATTACAACATTTCAGCAAGGAAAAGGAATATGTTGAAAAGACAGGAATATTTTCATAAAAAAAAAAACTAAACATATTCATTAAAATGAGGGTGAGAGAGGGCATCACTTTCCCATGTATATGCACATGCCCACTCTATAATGTACCATTTCCAAATATGGTTTCATGGAAGAATTTCTAAGGATTATTTGTGCTATGTTAAAAAGCTTTTGTGGTAATAATAATTTGGGGACATACTGAATGCAAGCTAGTCAAATGGGTTGATAATTCAAGGAGATTTTCACAAATTCAGACTCTAGAGTCTAATGCCTAAACATTCTCAAGTCAGAAGAGGAATGAGAAAAATATTTCTTGCCTGTTCTAGATATACTTCTATAGTTATGATAAAATAGATATAACAAAATTTACCATTTTGGCATTAAATACATTCACAATGTTGGGTAACCATCATGACTATCACTTTCCAGAACTCATTCAAGCCAGACAGGAATTCTGAACTTATGAAACAACAGCTCATTTTCCCTCCCAACAGTCCCTGGCAACTACTGTTCTCCTTTCTGTCTCAATGAACTTGTCTATTTTTATACCTCATGTAAGTGGGATTCTATAATATTTGACCTGTTGTGTCTGACTTCTTTCACTTAGCACAGTATTTTCAAGATTCATCCATGTATCAGAATTTCATTCTTTTCAAAGGCTGTATAATACCCCACTTTGTGTATACACCACATTTTGTTTATCCATTCATTGCTGATGTATATCTTTTTTTGCCCACCACTTTGCTTTTGTGAATAATGTTGCTATGAACATATACAAGTATACATATTATTATATATTTTCATAAATCAATCTTCATTTTTTTGTTGTGTAAATAAACTGTTGGAGCACTTTACAATTTAGAGCTCAAATAGAAATGAATGATAACATACATTTTAAGAGTCCAGTATTTTATTATTAGCATTAATATTTGTTCATACTGAAGATTCAGGGATAAAATAATGGACAGAAAACTGGGATGTAAGCAATATGACAGGGATGTATCATAAGTATATAGGAATACTTGTTAATTATTGGACTAAAAAGATACAAGATGAAATTACATCAATTATTTTGTGCTCGTCTTTCTGAATGTACTTTTGGTATTAAATACACAGCAAGTGCTTATACTTGGAGATTCTGCCTTTTTCTTTAGCAATGAAAACATGCTTATCCTTGATTAATCAGAATCAGTTTCAAAAGGTAAGACTTCTTAAAGGTAATCATGACATTTAGTGCTTTAGACCAGTACTCTTGGTGGGCTGGCTGCCAGATGACCGCTCTCGCTCTTTAGTAATTTCCATCTCAATTTTGGCTTTGATTTTCTCCCAGTCTATTTGGAGCTGTGGTAGAAGAAAAGAAGAAACACACATATATAGTATAAGACCTTTTTATTTAATCCAAAGTAGCTAAGAGTAAACAAAAATAGAATGTATGACTTCCAAAACATTAGAGAAAGACAGTGGGAAAGAAAAGTTAAGAAGAAATAATGATCCCCTGCAAATGACATAGTGTTAAATAATTTCTAGTAGAACAATTATCACCATAAAAAGCAAAGACCTTCACTGTGATGCAAAAGACCAAAATCTAGTTGTAGTTATTTATAAAAAGCATGTCTCAACTATGGAACCCTAGGATTCTGCTCAGGTATGAGGTGGGAAGGGCAGGTAAGGTGAATTGCTCTCCTCCAACGAGAGGGAAAATGGACAGAGCCCTGGCCATCAGGCCATGTTTCAAGTGCGTCAACACTTCAACACTCATACTGAGGTTTCCATCAGGAGCCTGGCTATGAAGACAGACAGGGGAGCATCTGCTTCACCAGGGCATACTCTGCAAAGGGGCTCCTTTGTAAAAACTCTTAAAATAATATGAAGACTTGGTGGTGAGACAATGATGAAAAGATATTAGATGAAATAGTGGGAGAGCAAGGTTGAAAGACAACTAAAAAGAATAACTGTAAAGTGATAATATTTATATCTATTTCAGGTCAACCACTGATCCCCAACAAGATCCAGCCCTGCCCCTCCACTATATCCCTTCCCTCCACTAATGCAACAGACTTGGTATTAGGAGTGGACTCTACCCCGAGTCCCACAAACAAGTTCTTTAGAAAAAAGCATTCAGATTTTTTTTTTAAGTCTGGAGATCACTAACTTAGAAATGTGTGTCCTCTCAGGCAAGACATGGGAAAAAATGGGGTCCCAGCTTAAACTTAACTCTGATTTACTCTGAAATAAACCCAAACTCCTAAGACTGAACCAAAAGTAAATAGGTTTTTACCTCCATGTAGGGGAGCTCAGTAGAATAAGCAGTATTAAAGCAGATTGTGGTGATATGTGCTGCTTGAACAGATTTATCTTAAGTAACTGAGACTAATTTAACCTTAACACAAGACTTCATGCCTCTTTTATTTTGTGCTGGAAGTAGGTAGAATTAAGTATTTGGTTCTTTTTTATGCCAAAATCCTTTCTCTAATTTCTGTGAAGTAATTTGTGGATATTATTGGTCACCTTTATTAAAATAATCATTCCATATATTTGTCTATAATATATAAAATAGATGAATTAAAAGAATCCCTCTTACTCATAGAAGATGAATGTCTAGGCTAAGATGCAAGTGACAACTCAATGAAAGGCAGAGCAAATGTTAGATTATTTGAAAGGCTCATTTTTCAATCTGGCCAGAACCTGATATTTTTTAAATAGCAGAACATTTGTCTAAGAAAACATTTCAAAGAGAAAGACAAAATTTGATGAATACCTTGTCCTTCTTCCAGCTTTAAATTGACTTACACATGTTTCTTGAATCAATCACAATAAAACCATATATTGATGATAAACTAAACAACTGTTGCTTGGCTTCACCAGAAGTATATCAAGTAGACTGATGACATCTATATTAGTTACTTGTTATAGTACAAATGAGGGTGTCAGTTGATAGCTATCCTACTGAAAATAAATGTTTCACTTTCACTCTGGCATCTGTTCAGCTTTAGAACAATGTTCTCCTGATAAGTTAGTCTCTGGAATAGAGTATTTTTAATAGTGGGTTTCAGATGAGGATGTACTCGTGACAGCTGTCAAGTGCCGTCTACATGAAAACACGCCCTTCTCTCTCCCAGGGCGTGTTCATACCCTTTGGCACTCATTCTAGTCCTGCACCAGTCAATTCTTCATATTCACATAGAAGTCATTTCAAAATCCTATCAAATGGCTCTCCATCCTCTGCCTCACCTCTCTTACTCTCAACTGAAAATCAGCTTCCCACTTCAGAGAGAATATAGTGACATTAGGCAGAATTCACTTAATTTCCTTCCTTTCACAAAAGTACGTACATCTCCACCCACGCCTGCCTCTTTCCCTTCTGTCTCAGGCCAGGACTCTCACACAAGTCCCTGACCTCATCTCAGACTCCTTTAGGACATCGGCCTTCAATTATTACCTACGCATCTCAATTTCCTTCTCTTCACTGGCTGCTCCTTCTCATCCTTCCTTCTCTATCTGTCAAGCTACCTTCTCTATTCCTACAAGCTACCACCTTCATTCTTCTTTTCATTCCTCACTTTCACCCTCTTCCCAGACCACTGTGATATAACTGTGTTCCCACTACACTTCAGAAACTTCACTAACGCCACCATTAAGTGTTTTAATTCCTCATCCTATATACCTTCTCTGTATGACTCAATTACTCATTCAATGAATATTTAATGTTCACTCTATGCCAAGGATTGCTATAGGTGCATGGATTTAGCAATGAATAAAAAGATAAAAATCACTGTCTTTATAGAGAGATAAACAGACAAATGATAGTGCTAAGAGTTTCAGAAACAGGGGAGGGAGACAGTACCAAGGGGAAAGTTGTGGGGATGAGTGCTGAACCTCAGATAGAGTGATCAGAGAAGGCCTCCCTGAGAGGTTGACGTGAAAATCTGAAGATTAATGAGTCACTCCATGAGTGTATCTGGGGAAGAGCACCTAACAGAGGAAGGAAAAGGCCTTGATGCAGCAGCATCTCCTGGACCTTGCTGATGCCATTCCATCTCTTCAAAATCTCTCAGTATATCCTTCCCTTCTGGTTTCTGCTCTCCTTTCTAAATGTCCTCAATCTTTTTTTCTTTTTCTTCTATATCCTTCTCCTTGGTACCCTCTTGACTATTAGCATTCATTGGTGTTCCAAACAGATTTTTCATACTTTACCTAAGAGATCTCATTAACTCACATAGCTTCAACTATACCTAAACTGCCATGATCATAGATTTATTTATCTAGGACTTATTCTTCCTTTATCAACACCCTTTGATGTTCACATTGATATTTCCAAGTGCTCACTAGACATCTCCACCTAGATAGGGTCTATCCCGCAGGGACTTCTAATGCAAAAAATGGACTATTTTCATGTATTCAAACTAAAAAAGGTCCACAACTCGTATATGCTCATGTTTCTCCACCAGTCACCCATGCTAGGAATGCTGAAGTTGTTCTCAAACGCCTTGACTTACCTCACTGCTCTCCTCCTACCTCTAACCACAATGTTCTATTAATTTTTCTGATTTTTTTTCTTACATTAATCCTACCCCTTTCCATCTCCTGGTGAAACTATTATAATAACTGGCCTCCTGGTCACCACCTTCACCTCCAAACCATCTTCCACCTAAGAAGCTATCCTTCAAGTCATTCTCTCGATTACAAACCTTCAAGTCTTTGCATTGCCTTCATTATGAAATCTGTTAGCACAGTATTAAGATGCTTCTATGTCTGGTCCCATCAATATTCCAGTCACCCAGAACCCAAGGCACTCCCTCTGTACTCCTTCACCATTCTTTCAAGATCCCATGCATTTGCTCTTATTATCATATCCTTTAACTGACTGACAAAACCCTACTCAAGATAATTTTGTGGAAAAAATAAATTAAAGAAATTAAAACTAACAAATGCTAAGTATATAATTTCCAAATTGGGAAAAAAAAGAATAATTTTGTGAAAAATTCTAAGTTTCCATTTCTACTTAGGAATTGGGATTTTAAAATGGAAAAGTGACCATGTCACTTCCATTCAGTATCTTTACATTAATCTTAGGGTAAATCCAACTTACCTAATGTGCCCTATGAAATTCTCAGGTCAACCTCCCCTTTGCTCATCACTCTTAACCACTTAAGAGCCTCCCCTATCCTGGAATGTTGTCCATCCCCACACCCTGTCCCCTTGATCGGTTTCTACCCATCCTTCAGAGTTCAGCTCTAACATCATTTGATTTCCTTTGATAAATCTTTCCTGATATCCGCATCCTAGGTCAGGCTCCACATTCATAAAGTCTTATAGCACTACGCACAGTACCTTCAAGGCTATCATCACAAATGAAATAACAATTAACTATATAATTATCTATCGCCTTTATTTGAATACAAATTTCAAAGGGTCAATGTCTGCCAGGTTTACTATTATATCCCAACCACTGAGAAGAATACACTGTCGGCAGGAGGTACTAAATAAATATTGAATGAATAAGAGATCACTAATTATCCAGCAAATGAGCTACCACTTAATCTCTCACTATTTTCTCTCCTATTTATCACTCCTTTTTTCTTTCTTCTAGCATAATGCTTTAAACATTTCCTGGATCTTCTACTTTCCTTTCTGCACAGAGTATATATTCAGTGAACTGAATGTATTCCTCAGGTGGATTTTATTTGCCAGACTAATGAATTATTTTACAAACACTTGCTTGTAGACCAGGTATAATGACTCTAATGGAGTTCTTAGAAGACAGCACACCTTGTATAGATCTCAGATTTCCACATTTTAAACTAGAAAGGCCCAAATAACATTTCAGGGCTCATAAATATGAATGTATGTCAAGCCTCACTTGTTATAAACTTTTATGTTATGCATTGTGAAGCTATTTGAATTCACCAGCTATCTAGAATAAATTTCTCAAGGTTTAAAAAAATGATTTTTTTCTATTCAATTCTTAGTTCTGAAATAAAAAGTTTATATAATCACAATTTTGGTTAAGAAATTTTAAGTCAAAGATTATTCTAATCCTAAAATACAGCTTTATGATTTCAAGTTAACTTCCAAATTACATTTATGAAGACAAGTCGGAAACTAGAACATGGTGCCATGGGGAGTCAAAAAAGGGAAACAAAATACCCAAGAAAAGTCATGTTGTTCTGATTATCCCATTTTGAACATTTCGGCTACTCTTATGATTGAAATATTACATGTTATTTATAGTTTAATATGTATATAATGAAAAAGAGGATAAGAGTTTTAAGTTTTCAGAATCTGAAATATAACCTTGAGGTAAAAAACTATATTTTCTATGTTCTCAAAAGCACCTAATGTGAACACAGTGAAAAAAAAATTGATAATAATATGATGAAGAGGAAACAGAGTCATATTAATTTGCTTCAAAATTATATAGTAAAGGAAATTTAAAGTGGTGCTCATTTTCAACATACTGTCATATTTTAAAAACTGAGACAAAAGAGATTAGGTGACCAATGATTTTCTGGGCTGTTCTGTACCACAGTGGTGGTGGCTGCTGTCATATTCTGTGAATTAAAAAGTACAGCCCTCAGAGCTCTTATGGAAGGCTAATAGCCCAAACAATTAATTTCTGAATCAAATTAAAAAATTGTGAAGCTTCTATAAAATATGTCCCTTTCTATCAAGAAACCCACAACTGTGTCTATCCTTCAGATGATGAAGTTACATTGCAGAACTAAGAATAGCTCCAAAGTCTTCATTACCCTGAAAACTGTTCTGAAGTCCAAAAATGTGACTCATGACACTCAATATTCTACATACAGCAAATGGATAATATCTTTAGTAGGTGCCTCTGTCTACATCCTCTTTCCTCTTCCAAAGAGGATGGGTTAATATATTTTAGCCACCCCCACAATGAAGCAGAACATTCCATTGTATTCTGTCTCCACCGAGAAACACTCCTACACAGTCTATGAAAGAAAGTGAAAGTGTTAGTCGCTCAGTCCTGTTCAACTCTTTGGGACCCCATGGACTGTAGCCCACCAGGCTCCTCTGTCCAAGGGATTCTCAGGCAAGAATACTGGAGTGGGCAGCCATTCCCTTCTCCAGGGGGATCTTCCCGACCCAGGGATCAAACCTGGGTCTCCTCCACTGCAGGCAGATTCTTTACCATCTCAGTCACCAGGGAAGCCCCTACATGGTCTATAAGCTCCATAAAGACAGAAGCCATGTCTGATTCAACACCTAGTGTGGTACCTAATCCAGACTGAGTACTTATAAACACATTTTGAATATATGAATGCCTAAAAGGATAAGGAAATCAACTAGTTTGCAGAGCTGGGAGAAAGGTTAGTCCTGTCTTGGCTTTACACATTGGATCTCCCATGGCTAGAAGGGAGCTCTATTTCTGCTATTTGAATCTAGAAGTGTCTGGGCAGGTGGCCACAATCATTTCTGTTCTAGGCACTGGCTTTCCTTGTTGCTGATATGTACTAGAATGGCTTTTTTTATAACTGGATTGACAAAACCTTAAGTTCTGGTAGGAACTTAAGAGGCAAAGGGTCAGCCTTCTTTGGTTCTAGGTGGTGAAGTCTACCAGGTGAGGCACCTCTTTAAGTGCAACCAGGGTCCCTAGAATCTGCAAAGTGACAGAGTATCCAAGTTCTGGCCACTGCCCTCTGTGCTCATGTACTTCCCCTGGAACAGAAAGGGCAGCTGGTGGAAGACAAAATTCAGGAGTTAGAAGCCTTTATCCTCACATTTTATGTTGTTTATCTAAAAATATCAGGACACAACCTTAACATAAATTGGAAATTATAAGAACAGATTTGAGTTAAGCAAAACATGGCTATAAGAGTCCAGAAAAATATTCTGTAATATAATTATATAGTCAAAATAAAACTGCAACATCGAAAGACAAGAAGCAGTTATTTTTAGAGATTACGGTAGGAAAGTTACTCAATTTTGTCTCATTGAGACAAATAACATACACTTGTAAAGCATATAATTATTATCAAATACTGCGTAATACTTACACCTTCTGCATACTGCAGGTATCGTTTATTAGTTTCCTGTTTACCAAATGTCTCCAAAAATTTTTGACGGTAAGCAAGAACTGTGTCAACATGTGTTTTGTATTTTACAGCCAATTCAAGAGCCCTATAATGAGAAATAAAACATCATCAGCACTGGTATGTTGACTTCTATGGGCAGTGGAGTTCTGGGGTGAGAGGGTGGGACAAACGGTCTATGTTTTTCCCTCTACTCACCCTTCAGTGTGAAAGGCATGTCAGAGCCCCTACCTTATCCACCTTGTAAATTTCTATTTATACTTCAGGGTCCAGACCAAACACGATCTATTCTCCCTGACCAGCTCTCCTTGTAGAAATAAATGATCATTACATCTTTCCATGCTACAGAACATTCCTTACATACTATTATTATAGTCCTGCTCACAGTGTATTGTAACTATTATGAATTTGTTCCCTGAATTAACCTATACATTTATTAAAGGGAGATGTGGGTTTCATTTCTCTTTGGTGAGTATTAGTGAGTAGATGTATGGTAAATGCTCATTGAAAAGTTCACTGAAATCATAAGAAAATTCAAGTGAATTCCCCAAAGTAAGGGTTCAACTATCCTGACCATTTTATAAGTCTGTAATGAATTTATTCTGTTCAATATTCAACTAAATACTGATATCCTTACTTTTTTAGTATAGCAAATTAAAAATATTAATGTTTTGAAAATAAAATTGAGGATAAAAGTCTGACAAAATGCCTTTTGACATCTGATTCTTACAAAAAATTAAAAGCCATTTAAATTTTATAATCCAACTAATATCTATTTATCTATGTAACTAAGTTATTTTTAAGGTACTGTTTTATTTAAATAGCAGATAAGAACTAAATTAATCACTAAAATCAGAGATATAACACCAAGGCATAACATCTATATACTGATAATACAGAGGGAGATAAAAATATTATTCTGCAGTTCCAGATCTGTTTTTGCATGTAGGTTTTGGACAGCACTCAGCCCATCATCCTATGCATAACTCATATCAGTTGAGCCAGGAACAACCTAGTACAGTATGCTCTCCTACACAGCTCACTGGATTTTTTTAAATTGTGAAAATATGACAACACATTTACAGGAGGCTTGGAAAATACAGAACAAGGTGACATATAGCTCCATTATATATTACAATTAGTTTTTTAAATAAATATTTTTTTTGTTGGAGTTTCAATATCAAACTCTCAAATATTAATAAAATGAATATACAGAGAAATAGAAGGATATAGTAGAAAAGCACTAAGAACCATTCAACTTAAGATTTATACAATTTTCACACAACATATACTGTTCATTTTTCCCATGTTTCAAAGTATGGGAAATGATCATCATAATAATCAGAGTATATTATTTCTCAAGTTGTCTTGCTTTCTAATATGCCATATGACTTCAAAATAGGTGGTCATAGTTTATCAGAACCAACTATTATGAACTTGTTTTTTAGACAACTAGAATTTTTTCAACATGGGATTGCTTAGTAGGAAACTCTGTTTGGTTCTTGACATGCTTTGGTTTGACATAAATAGTAACTTTAAAAAGTATTTTATATATTATGTGTGTATTAACTGATGAATAACAAATGAGGGATATTAAAGATAATAAGAAAAATTATGAATATAAGTCATGTATAATACAAATGATAATGCCAGAGTCTAGTACAATGATTTCTTATAAAAATATATTGGCCCAAACAATATTGCTAAAAGCAAGGGTCAATATTTGCTACCCACCACAAACTCCTCACAAAGTTTCCTTATTTTTCTCTAACTTCAAATCTTTCAGAGAGAAAAAAAAAAGATACAGAGAAAAAAAAAATATAGAGGTACTAGAATATAGAGGAACAAAAGCAGAAAACCAGAGCGGGCAAAAAACAATTTGTAGAGGCTCAAAAGAGGAGAAACAGAAGTAAAAATGCCTTAACTCTTCTAGGCCTCTCTCATTTTATCCCCCTCTAAATTCCTAAGGCTCTGATTCCAGTGGGGTATGATGGGTGGAGACTCCAGTGAACCACCTCTTTGGCATCTTAGAGTTCCATTTCCCATTATTTCTTTATGATTGTACAGGACAGGGGAAGGAATTCTTGATTGCACAAAACTGGAAGAGTTCTAAGCAGGAAGTACATGAGCATCTATTCTGGATTGGGACTTTCCAAAAATTCCAAAGAGATACTTTGTTATGGAACATCAATACATTTAATTATGTAGAAGGTATAGAATATGATGTCTAATCCTGCATTTAGATACTAGATACTAAGTATTATCTATTATAATAGTTTATTAGTATTATAAAATATGTATTAATTATCTGACTGAAAACAATGCTAAAAGTAAACAGTCAAATGATATGTGCTATTTTAAATGCTCTCTAAAAGCACACACTGAGTAAAAAATGTTTCTCTACCACATTTAAGAGGGAATTTACTCCAAATTATGTAAGAGTTATGGGAACAGTATGTCTCTAGCTTTAAAATGGTTATTTGGCAATGAAACAAATTTAACATTAGATTATGGGGCTGGAAAAAATCCATGTATCCTCTCGGATTTTAAATAGAAGGAAGTTATATAAAAAGATGTTATAACTTCAAAGTATAATTTTTGCATAACTTGAATGAAGAAAAATTACTTTATGTAAGTGATATAAGTAAAAGAAACTATTTTTATTAATACTTACATAAAGGATCAAAATGCATACATGGAGTTTCTAGCTTCTACCTCTCTTAACTTGGTTTTGAAAACAGACCACCACCAAATGTCTAGGGGGAACAGCACATGGATAATAACTTGCATATCTACAGCCCTCAAGGGCTGCATCTTGGTAAATTGCAGGCAATTTTCAAATTCAAATATAAATGATAGAAGCACAAAGCAGCAAGATGATGCTTCTCAAATAGAATAACACATTAACCAAGTAAAATCTGTTCCCAGGCTCCCCGAGAGGTCCAGTGGTTAAAAATCCGTCTGTCAATGCAGGGGACATGGGTTCAATCTTTGCTCTGGGAAGACCCCACATGCCACAAGGCAGCTAAGTCTGTGCACCATGACTGCTGAGCCTGTGCTCTAGAGTCCATGAGCTGCAACTCTTGAGCCCACATTCCAAAATTACTGAATTTCGCACTCTAGATCCTGTCGCCTGCAACAAAAGAAGCCACTGCAGTGAGAAGCCCTCGTAATGCAACTAGAGAGTAGCCCCTGCACTCCACAACTAGAAAAAGTTCTAGTGCAGTAATAAAGAATCAGTGTAGCCAATTAAAAAAAAAAGTTTTCTTCTAAAGTATGTAAATAAATATAGAAATTCAAGGATCGTAAAAGGAATCTAATATATTTATCAGCCAATACTTAAATTCTATCATTTTAGAATTTTGGAAGGATAGAATTAGAATATCACCATAACTGATTAATGGATCAGAGCAAAAACTGTCAATGGCTAACATCACAAGAAAGACAGATGACCAGTTATTACAGACATACATAATACCAATTCTGATGGATCCTTACCAAAAGGAAGGAAAAATTTAAATCTAAACTTAATCAAGTTTCTATGGCTTTCCAGGTGGCAAGTGGTCAAGAATCCACCTGCCAATGCAGGAGCTGCGGGAGCCCCAGGAGACATAGGTTCTATCCCTGGGCTGGGGAGATCCCATGGAGGAGAAAATGGCAACCCACTTCAGTATTCTTGCCCAGAGAATCCCATGGACAGATGAGCCTGGTGGGCTACAGTCCATGGGGTCACAAAGAGTTGGACACGATTGAGCGTGCAGGCACATATGTCATCAAGTTTCTACATTCAGTACCAAGTCACAGCAAATTCAGGGGCAGGGGAACATGTTAAGTGACAGCACAAAGATGCAATCAACGAAGTCTAGACTATGGGAAGTTCTCTGAGCACAAATAAAATACAGAAAACAAACAGAAGAACCTATAGGTTTAAAGAAACTTAAGAGTGCATCAACCAATCATAATGCATGTATCTTTTCTGGATACTGCATCAAACAACATAAAGCAAAACAAAACATTTATGAGACATCAGAGAAATAAGAACACTGAATAGAATTATTATTAATTTTAAAGGTGTGATCATAATATTATGGCTGGATTAAAAAAAAACCTTTAAGATACATACTGAAATATTCATAGATAAAATAATATGATGACTGGGATCTGCTTTTAGAAAATGGTGGGGAGGGGTAGAGTGTGGGTAGAGATTACTCACAAATCGCTAACTATTGAAGCTGAATGATGGGTACATGAATATTCATTATACTGTTCTCTTACTTTTCTATATATTTGAAACTTTCCATAATAAGTAGCTTTTAAATTTCATCTTCTTTGGCCCTTCCTGATCTCTTTTGCTGAATCCTCCTCTTCAACCAGACCATTAAATGCTGAATTCAGGAGAAATCTGCCTTCTTTTCTTTTTCCTTCTTTAAATTCTAGTAGGTAATCCTAGCCATATTCGTGGCTGCAACTACTCCAAAGGGCCGACAATTTCCTCAGGGCTTTCCCTCAATGTCCAGGAGCTCTCCTGAACTTCATGCCTGTGTATCCCAGCCCCTGCTGGCCCTCATGAACTGAAAAGATAAAAGTAATTAAAACTCAACAAATCTGAATTGTTAGACAGCTTAATAATCACCCACTTTCCCCCCAACACATACAAAAATCTGTCTTCCAGTATAGCTCTAGTCTACACAGAAACCAAATGTGGGCTTGTTGTTGCTTAGCCGTTAGGTCGTGTCTGACTCTTTTGTGACCCCATGGACTGTAGCCCACTAGGCTCCTCTGTCCATGGGATTCTCCAGGCAAGAATACTGGAGTGGGTTGCCATTACCTTCTCCAGGGGATCTTCCTGACCTAGGGGTCAAATCCATGTCTCCTGCATTGCAGATAGATTCTTTACTACTGAGGCAACTAGGAAGCCCTTTTAAATGAGCCAGACTTCCTGGGATATATGCAACACACAAATTCTTCAAGAAAGACTCAAACTACTATTTGATAATATAAACCAATCCTAGAAGTCCTAGTTTATGAGACCTATTATTTACTCACTCCCAGAGGAAGAGGGAAACACATGTGGCCAAAAAAAAACAC